TATGGATGAATAATTTCAGAAACGATGTTTAATAGAGGAGAGGAGGGGGTTATGGAATAGTCATGGAATATGGAATACCTAAGATTTAGCTCTGTCTTTCATGCAGCCTTCACATGGAAATACACAGGATTAAAGGATTTCACCATTAACCTCATTACCATTAGTTATAGATTGTGCTGAAAATGATTTTGTGAATTAATATGTAAAACCAGTAGGGTTGTTTTTAAAAGAATATAAATTTTAGTCCATAATACATATACTCTCTTCTCTCTATATAGGCAAAGCATTTAGGTATTATATTTGAAATTAATTATTGCCACAACAAGCATTGTTGCTTCTAGTAAAATAGAAGATAATAATTTTTAAAATTGGTTTTAGATTAAGGTCCTTGAAAATTTTGTTGAGGTCCTTGAAAAGTCCTGAAAAGTCCTTGAATTTCAATCTCATCATAGAGTGGGAACCCTGTTAAATAAAAATATGCTTTTTAGGAAAACATTGATGATTTTTTTTTTCTTTTCATTTTATGAATGAATGGTTTAAAGAAGAATTGCAGAATTCTTTATATAAATATTTCAATAATTTTAAAGTTACAGGTTGATTCATTATTCAAACACTGATTCATTCAAATTGACATATTTCTTAAATACTTATAGTTCGTTTTATTTATTTAGGTTAATTGAGAAATTTTTAGAATGTGTATTTGCATTTAGTATTTAGTATTTTTCACTTTTAATTTGAATATATATATTGCTATAACACTGTTTACTCTGAATACTAAATAATATCAGCCATCAAATTTTAGAACAAATTTCAATATGGATGATCTTCCCAAAACTGTCCTGTGGAACTGGGCCAAAGGTCAAAGCATTGATCAGCCAAAATATCAAACAGTAAGTGTTTATGTGTTTTATTTTCTCTTACCAAATATTTCTGTAATAAAAATCCCATTCTATGTGCCTTCTTACATCTTTAAGAGGAAAAAGTGGAAATTTGGTCACTAATTGTGGAAAAAGGACTGCTTATTGCAATTTTTCGGGGGGGAAAATTGGATTATTTTTTCCCCTTCAAAATATTTATTTTTAATAAAGTAGATCATATCGAGACAATGCATTAAGAAATGAAACAATCTAAAGAAAACTATTCACTATCAAGTCGATTTACGCCAACAATTGGCTAAAAATTGATAATACCCTACCTGCCAAGTCTTCTGTTTTTTAACGAAGACTCCTGTATTTTATGACTATCTCCTGTTTACCTGTATATTCTCAAATTTCTCCGTATTTGTTGAAGAAATTTAGAAGAAAAAAAATAATTGCTGATTAAATATCTACTGACGGCAAAAATACTTCTCTAATTCCTCAACAAATGGTGCTATTGGCAGTAATGCAGTATGTTGAGTGTTTATAGTTTAAGTAATTATAAATAATGGTTTTAAAAAAATCTTCTTTAGATTAAGATTTGTATGCATATTTTTTACTTCGCTAAATCTAAGTGCTTAAATTATTTCCAACTTTGAAATTATTTATTTATTTTTTTGACTTGCATGATTATGCATTTTGAAATCGAAATTTTGCTCATAGCCTAAGAAATACTGCTAGTTAAATCTCCGTTATTTTATTTCTCCAATGTTGGCAGGTATGTAATATATTTATACTCGAAAATGGAATGGTAGTTTTCTTGTTGTAGTTAAACTCATGAATAGTCAAGTTACGTTTTTTAATTATATTTTATCTATTAATTAAATCCAAAATCAGTATTATATAATGATCAATTAGAAAATTCCTTGCAATATCCCACATTCCAATATCCGGATATTTCTAGCTAACTGATCTGAAATTTATCTCTAGAAAAATTTATATCATGTTTATTGCTAATCGAAAATTCAAAGAATTTTGTCTGTTTTTATATGTTTGACTTATTAATTATTTATTTTAATTTATATTACTTCTCTTTAGGTTCTTTTTATCCTAAACAAAATGTAATAACTTATTTTTTATTTATTTTTTTAAAATTTAGGATCAATATGAGAAAAGTTTTCAATCTGTTGTACATATTAATGGGAAAAAATATACAAATTTATGCTTGTAAGTTTTATTTATATTTTTAAGGAATTAAAACTTTTGTTTATAATATTTATTTGATATATGTTTTAATTGCAATCTTTTTTTCTTTTCTTTTTTTTTTTTTGATATAGGGAAAAAAATAAAAAGAATGCTGAACAGGCAGCTGCTTTAGTTGCAGTTATTTCTTTAGGACTTGGGAAAAAAGACATGAATCTTGAGACTTGTGGTTTGGAATCTATCAAAGATTTTTCAAATAAGACATCACCTCCTGATGCCCACTGTAATCCTGAAAATAACAATACCCTTACCATCAGATGACAGCAGTCTTTGAATAGAGCAGCTTATGTAATTTTAAAATACAGAGTATTTAATAAAATAATAATTTTATAAATTATGGTTGAAAATTAATTTCGGTGGGAAGTTTATAAACTGTTTGAGTGAGCATCCTGAGAGTACAATTCTAGTCATGTCACATGGTCAATCATCTTAATAAGAACTAGTCCATCTAAACTACTTTTTTGATTTCTGGCAATGAAAAAATTTAAAATACAGGAAAGACATTTATTTAAAAATTAATGCCTTTTACACATGCTGTGAAAATTGTTTAAGTTTACCATTTGTGGTGCATTGCTATAGTGATCAGCTTAGACAAATGGTCAACTTATATTGAGGGAAATTAGTCATTTTTTTTCCTTATAGTTTTTCATAAATAGACGTAGTATAAGTAATGTTATAAGCAATAATTAAATTCTTCCAAAGAGTTCCTCTCTTCCAAAAAAGATATGCTAATCTTTTTAGGCACTGGCTATTTTCCTTTCCATACTCTGACTGGATGTCCTTCATTTGTAATGCTTTTCGTCTAGTTTAAAAGTAAAAAGATCTGCCCTTTACCTGTAAAAAAGAAACAATGTAAAATTTATATGAAAATGATTATTTCATCAAATTGTGTGCATACAAAGTTTCTTGGTTAGAAACTTGAAATATGAAGGGTGTGTATAGTAAAATGTGTAGGGAGTACAATGGAATAAAAAAATTTAACATTCAAAAATTAGTTCGAAATTTATTACTTTTTAAAGCTAAGAAAAATACAATTTGGCCGCTTTTCAGGATGCAGGAATGCAACTACAGAGTTCAAATTTAGTAAGCTGAAAGGGCCATATTTATTTCTGAACTTAACACAGTTTTTGGGTTGGGATAGCCTGGTTAGTAAGGCTTTTGACCAATGCCCAAGAGGTTGTGAGTTCGATCCCGCCATCCGAAGACTCCCCATGGAGTAAATAGTGACTGGTGCACATTAAATCTGTTGGGTCACAAAGTCCTCCGTGTCACCATAAGAAATCATACTTCTGGGAGGGCACTGAACTGGGAATTGATCGATCTCTGGTTGAGGTCAAAATTACGTTCTGTGAATGTATGAACTAGTCCGCCCTGTGATAGGCTTGGGACGAATGTGTGTGGAAGAAGTAGAATTCTTTTCCATAGATGGCGCCACTATACAACAAGAAGTGCCCCCCCCCCCTTTTCTAAATGGCATAGGACAACAAAGTTTTTTTTTTTTTTTCATAATTTTTATTAGTTCAAAAGTTTTAAGTGTATTTCTTGATAAAATTTTCTCACTTTTTTACGCTACATTTTGCTTTGCTGCACAAAATGTATGACACTTAGAAACTTTAAATCATGAAAGCATGTAGAAAAAAATAAAGAGAGTTCGACGGAATAATAAAAAAAAATTAAGATTAGACAAATGATTTGAAAATTATTAATCATGTAAGGAAAAAATACGTTAGATCGGACTGAAATGTAAACGAGTGAGTTGAAGTTTGACGTGCTGAAAGAACCATTTTATTTGTGAACTGAACTCGAATTTTGTTTCGAAATTCCAGTTTGTTTGTAACTTATTGCGAATTTAAGAGTTTTTTTTCTTATTTATTTGAATATTGACAATTTACCATTGTTGTGGAAAATTTATTTTCCCCTCACGAGATCTTTATCTTACGGTAGCAAAAAAAAAAAACGAGGGGGACATTGAGTGTTGCCAGCTATAAATTTTAACATTTGTATGGACATTTTATTAAATAAATTCTTAAGAGCGATAAAAGCCATTCAATGTTTGAATTGTTATAAGTATCGTCAAGGAGTAAAATCGCATCTTCTTAAGTCCCACAATCTGTATTCCTTATGTAAAAAAAATTCAAGTATTGATAATTATTTTCTAAATCTAGGTAATCGTCTATTTCGTTACGATTACCATGTATTAACAAAATGTTCTTATATAAAGCTACAGTAATTGTATATTTTCAACTTAAAATGTTCTATCTTTTGTGTTAAATATTGACATTAAAAAAACGATGAATGGGAAGCAATTATAGGAATGATGAGCTGAGCGAGCAGAGAGTAAATAGTTTTGCTTACAATGTTTAAACTTTATTTATCAAAAATTAAAGTATCTCGTGATAGCTAGTTGTTTTATTTTCTTTCGAAGAGCGTTTCATCATTTTACACTGTAATAAATCGCGATCAGACAAGTGTTCTTTTTCTTAGCTTTAATGTCACTAAGAATTCGTACTTAATGGATGGCGCTCTACAACATCGTGATCCACCTTTTCTTTTTAACCCGCTCCATTTCCAAAGATAGCAGTGCTAACTCTGCAGCAGTTATCTACCAAGAAGTACTACTTGTGACTTTTTTCGAGTAGTACCAGGGACTGCGAAACCAGGAGCGCCCTCTCGCATTTAATAAATGAAGGGACAACAGCCCCTTCTACGATTACAATTTTTCACTCAATATTTGAGTCATTAAAAATTTATAATTTTATGTGTCTGAAATTTTAAAAAAAATGCCTCTATTTCAAGCAAGTTTTACCATTTGCTTGGTGAAAATTGCTACCAAATCATCCCTCTGCAGAGGGAATATACATACCCATTGCTGGTCGATAATTCTTGGGAATTGGGAAAAATTCTTGGTTTCAAATACCACAGCAAACAGAATAAAAAATGCCGTTAAATGAGTGATAAATATATAAAGGTAAACAATTTCTTTTTTTAAAATTATATTAATTTTTAAACAATTTATGTCATAAGTTCGAATTTGTGATTTTATAGCCGTCGTTGAACAGCCGACCCAGTTTTCGAGTTTACGACTGCTAAGGTTCAACTCCGTAGCCTTGTAATTTTGAACCCAATCCAGAAGACAAGGGAACTCCTGGATCAAGTATTGGGAGAAATTTGCCTTCGTGGTGGATTTTCGATGGAACTAACCCGCATTTATAATACATGGAGAGGAAGACCACGAAAACCTCCCACTGTTAGCCTGACGGTAAAGGGACCCTAACCCATGATCCGTCTACCACTCAGGATATTTACCGTCAGCACTGTGGTCGGTGCAAGCCAGATGCGGATTCGTATCGACCAGCCATCGGTGGGATTCGAACCCGGTTCACCTCATTGGAAGGCGAACGCTCTATTCCCTGAGCCATCGCGGCTCTTCGAATTCGTGAGTTTTAGATAATCCGGTATATAAGTATATATGGTACATATGTACAGAGAGTCCCCCCCCCTTCACTCTTGACTTACTTCCGCGATCACTGAATAGCACATAGCCACTTAACTGTGCTTGGAGACCACTTATGTAGCTAAAATTTAGAAGGTGGTAATAGACTTAAAAGTGTGTACCCTGTATAAAAATAATGTGCCTCATCGCTTGTTAAGCACATTATTTCGAAACTAATTTGCCACAATGCCATCTTCTGTCTTTTGAGTTATTTACATCCCACTGTGAGAAATATTGCTAAACCCACTTGGATGAATTCTGTGTAAACTGATCAATGGTACTATGAATGTGATAAGCGCTTCGAATCGCGTAAACTTTCAGGATGATGACATTTGCTCGACAGACGAGTTTTCGAACAATCCAGTACGTAGTTTCCCTGAAACATCGTAATTCTTTTTTTGTTAATTTATCTTTTTTTTTTTTTAATGAGCGTAAGAGTTTTAGTTTGACCGGTTTGCATGAACTGCTCCTATCAGGTTCACACTTTCCCAAGTCACATTTAATGCGAAATTTTATTTTATTGAAAAGTTAAATAAAAAAAATGGTACAGTAGAACTTTTGTCACAATTACCTTTTCCTAGAAATTCACTTTAAGATTGATTGCTAGTGAAATCAAATTGAAAAACAATTTATTTTCTTTTTTTGCCTTCTATGAATCCATCATTAAAATTATTTTACTATTTCTTTTTTTCTATCTCTGCAGTAGCTCACCAGACCTGAAAAAAAGACACGGTGTCGTGAATGCGTTTCTGTTTTCTGATATAAACAGTTTACAGAAAATTCCGGGGAATTTTATATTTCTTGATTGTTTTGTGTTTTCGATTACTCTGTGAGACCTCTTTCATATCGGATGTTATGATTGTGAGAAAGCGGGTTTTGGAACCTGACGGCTTTTGTGCAAACATATCTGATTTTCGAAGTGCCACATTGCCCGTGATGATACAATGGAGATAAACGAACAGCGCAAAATGACTCATTAATCGTTTACATTTCAAACAAGGCAGGCGAGTCAGAATATTTGCTGTGGTGAGGAAAAAAGTATATATTTGTACCAATACCCGTGTCAAAAGAAAAAAGAAAGCTCAAAATGCAAATAATTATTTGCATTTTGAGCTTTCTTTTTGCTTTTGCTTCTAGCTTTCCTTTAGTTAAAGGAAAGCTGAAAAATAATTAAAATTTTGTGTATAAGTTCAATAATATAAAAACCCGAAATTTGCCCCCCCCCCCCCGCANCCCCCCCCCCCCGCAAGAGGACAGTCGCCATCTTGAATTTACTGAGGGACAGAATTTGTCTTATAAAACAAGCAAAGTATCGTTTCCAATGTTTGTTTGTTTTTTTACACTAATACCAAGTCAATCGGACTAATAGCTCGAAAGTTATTTAAAAAAGTACAATTTTGATTTATACTTTATGTACACTTCAAAATTTCTTATCTAGGTAATCGATTATTTTGTATCTTTTTTTTTTTTGCTCTAACTCGAATGAAACAAAAAAGAGTTAATAAAACTAACAACTCATAAATTATAAATGTTTTTGTGTATTAACTTGTGCGTAATTTGTTTAAAACCCAAATTAAAAATTTATTTTGATTAGACAAAATGATAAGTATAATTTTAATTCTAGTTCAGTGTGAATTCGAATAAAAATAACTAATTAATATTGTTTTCACCATAACTTAGTGTAAAAGCAACTTTTTAAGTCAAAAAAAATTAGTAATAATAATAAAATAACCAAAATACAAAAATATTTAAATATCTAATTTTAAGCAGATTTTGAACTAATTAAATTGTGTAAAAATCATAATTAAAAATTTTTGAGCCTTCTAAATTATAAAATAATT